CAATTTTTTGTGCTAATAAATTAAATAGTATAAGAAAACAATAGACTTCCATCTATGACTCTACAAGTTTATACAAACATTGGCCTTTATTTTCTTTTTTTAATATTCACATTGGGGCTTGGTGGGAGAGTCAAGGTGGTGGAATAGGTAAACATGGTACTCGCCTCCTCCTATAATGACATCAAACTTACAACTAAACTACAGAACAATCATGATTTAGAGCCACCTGAAATCTGGCTGAAGCTAAGTCCTACCACTAGAGAATTAAAGAAGCCACAATGAGACTGGTAGGAGGGGCAGAGATGCGGAATAGGTTAGTCTAAGATACATGTGTGGCATTATTTTAATTGGGAGGGATATCTTGTCTACAGAGGTCCCCCCTAAAGATCAGGGGTTCAAGCCCCACTCAGGCCAGGGTTCCAGTGCCAGGAAGAGAAGTCATAGTAACTTCAGGCTGTAAAAACCAGCGGGTATTATGGCTGAGTGACATAAAGGTTGCTGGAATCCCATGCACTTCTTCTTAAAGGGCCTGCACATTCACTCCTTTCAAGCTTCAGTGCTGGGGCAGTAGATTGGAAGGATCCAGGGACATGGGAGGGGAAGAAGGGGGGAGCTAAATTGTCTGGCATCAGGGCAAGAACTGGGGGTCAACTTTCTCCCAAACAAAAGTGCTGACAGAGATCTGCCGTTGTGGCTCAGTGGTTGAGCATCGATCCAGGAACCAACAGGTCACATGCCTCGGTTGCGGGCTTGATCGCAGTAGGGGCCATGCAGGAGGCAGTCGATCAATGAAGTTTCTATCTCATCAATGTTTCTGTCTCTCTATCCCTCTCTCTTCTTCTCTCTCTAAATATCAATAAAAGCATATTTTTTAAAAAAAAAAGTGATGGCAGAGGTCACTGTTCCTTTTTTCTTTGCCAAGACCTCCCTGCCACTGAGCCAACAGTCAGGCATCCATTAACCTGGTCCACACTGTTCACCTCAGCCTGGTGATTCCCTGAGACCCTGCCCACCCAAGCTGTTTGCAGTGGCTTTTCCATATGAATGGCCTGTCCTACCTCAGGCTTCATACTTTCCTAAAAATCTCTCAAACAAGCAGCAGCTGTTTGCTCCATACCTCATAATACGTACCCCAAGGCCCGGCACTAGCAGCAGCCTGCCTTAGGTCACAGCTTGGCCACTCCTGTGTACCTCCAAACCCAACACAAATAGCAGCCATCTTCAGATTGCTCTATAGCTCATGCAGGATGGCCCCAGGCAGGGCACAGGCAGTAGCTGACTTTGCACCTCCCAGGAGGCCCAAGAGCCAGTACACCCAGTGGTCAGCTTTAGACCACGCCAGATTATAACCCTATCACATCCACGAGCAACATACTCAAGGGGTGGACTCTGAGCACTAAAGCCCCACTGAAGCAAGTCCTGCTCCATAGGGGTGTCTCCTACACAGCAACTCTTCCCCTGTAGTCGCAGCTGGTCCTCACAGCCGATTGGCCTTCCAGTGATGCCAACATAAATCAAGGCTCAACTACAACAGGACAGTGCAATCAGTTGCCTCCTGCATGTGCCCCAACAGCTCACATAGGGGTGCACCTAGAGTGCCCAGCTCAGGTACCTGGGAAGGCTGAGCCACTGGGACCTAAAGGACACCTACTATGCAAGGCCACTCTACCAATTCCAGGAGACATAGCAGCTCTACCTAATACATAAAAACAAACACAGAGAAGCAGTCAAAATGCGAAGAAACATATCACAAATAACAGAGGAAATCGCCAGAAAAAGAACTAAATGAAATGGAAGCAAGCAAACTACCAGATACAGAGTTCAAAACAATGATTATAAGGATGCTCAAGGAACTCAGTGAGAACTTCAAAGAACTTAGTGAGAACTTCAAGGAACTTAGTGACGAACATCAATGACATAAAAAAGGACCAATCAGAAATGAAGGATACACTAACGAAAATGAAGAATAATTTACAGGGAATCAACAGTAGAGGGCATCAAGAATCAAATCAGCGATTTGGAATACAAGGAAACAAAAAACACCCAATCAGAACAGCAAAAAGAAAAAAGAATCCAAAAATATGAAGATAGTGTAAGGAGCCTCTGGGACAACTTCAAGTGTACCAACATTTGTGTCATGGGGGTGCTGGAAGAAATTGAAAACCTATTTGAAAAAATAATTACAGAAAACTTCCCTGACCTGGTGAAAGAAATAGATATGTAAGTCCAGGAAGTGCAGAGAGTCCCAAACAACAGGAACCCAAAGAGGTCCACACCAAGATACATCATAAGTAAAATGCCAAAGGTTAAAGACAAAGAGAGAATCTTAAATGTAGCAAGAGAAAAGCAGTTAGTTACCTATAAGAGAGCACCCATACAACTGATTTCTCAACAGAAACTTTGCAAGCCAGAAGGGAGTGGCAAGAAATACTCAAAGTGATGGAAAAAAAGGACCTACAACCAAGATTACTCTATCCTGCAAAGCTATCATTTAGAAATGAAGGTCAGATAAAGAGCTTCACAGAGAAGAAATAGCTAAAGGAGTTCATCACCACTAAACCAATCTTACATGAAATGTTAAAGGGTCTTCTTTAAGAAGAAAAAAAGATAAAAAGTATGAACAATAAAATGGCAGTAAATACATTTCTATCAACAACTGAATCTAAAAATCGAAGAACAAAATAAACTGATTAATAAAATAGAATCAAAAGCATAGAAACCTGGAACAGACTGATGAATCTCAGAGGGAAGAGGAGAAGGGGGGGTGGGGGTGGAAAGAGATTAACCAAAGAACTTACATGCATATATGTATTATCCATGGACACAGACAATAGAGTGGTTAACACCTGCTGTGAGGTGGGATCCAGGTGAAGGGGGGCAAAGGAGGAATAGAAAGGGGGAACATCTTTAGTGCTCTCAACAATAAAAATTTTAAAAAATATATTCACAATGGGAAAACAGAGGACTGCCTTGTAATAGAAGTTGCTGTAAATTAAAGTATACATGGTACATTTAGGGATATTACTACCATTCAAACAATACTTTCAAATATTAGAAAGAGGACTGATTCCTGCAAAAATGTAAACATCCTATATAATAAAACCCTAATATGCAAATCGACCAAACGGCAGAACAACCAGTCACTATGATGCACAGTGACCACCAGGGGGCAGACGCTCAACGCAGGAGCTGCCCCCTGGTGATCAGTGCACTCCCACAGGGGGAGCACTGCTCAGCCAGAAGCCAGGCTCATGGCTGGCACGGCCGCCTCAGAGGCAGTGCTAAGGAGAGGCGAGCCTGGCTTCAAGCAGAGTGGTGGTGGCAGGAGCCTCTCCCGCCTCCGTGGCAGTGCTAAGGACCCCTCGGGGGCACCTCGGACTACGAGGTGGCGCAGGCCAGGCTTGAGGGGAACCCCCCTCCCCAGTGTACAAATGTTGTGCACCGGGCCTCTAGTATCAAATACTCAGTCAACACCAAAAACAGAATAATTAAGATTTTTTTTTTAAACTGGAAAGAAGTACAATGAATCAGTGGTTCTCAACTGGGGGCAATTTTGCCCACCCTACGGGACATTGGCAATGTCTGGAGATATTTTTGGTAACACTACTGCAGTAGGGGGTTGCTACTAGCATCTCGTGGGTAGAGGCCAGGGCTGCTGCTGAAGATCCTGCAATGCACAGGATGGCCCCTATGAAAATAACTATTTAGCCCCAAACGTCAACAGGACTGATGTTGAGAAACCCAGCTATAAATTATAGCCAACAGTCATTTCACAGGTGGTATTACTAAAATAAACTTGAACAACTACAGCTATGTTCATCTATAGAAAAAGTCATACCACATCCCCTTCAACAAAATTATGTGTCTACAGATGACATGGCAAAAGGAAAAAAAAATGACCACACTATATGACCAGATTTTTAATGTGAAACAGCCATGTAACCACAGATTTCTTCTTGTAACTGTCAGAAAGCAGTTAAAAGTAAACAGAAGAAACATATTTTTATTCATAATGAGTCCTTAATGGAATCACAATGCAAAAGATACTGTCATGTGACTCAAGTCTTTCTCCCTCCTTAGTTTCTTTCAGTATGCATTTAAGAAAATCTTAAAAATATTAAAAATCATGGTAAAGAATACAATGCTTCTTTCCTGTCCCCAAACAAGAAAATGAACCATATCTTTCCTTTCCCAACTATATAAATTAATTAAAAGACATCTCAAAATGTTACTTTGAAACAACTTATCCTTTAATAAACATTTTCAGAATATAATTAAAATATTTTGGTTCTTTGCAATATTATTGAAAAACGGCAAAAAAAAAAGAGAGAGAAAATATTCCCCGCTTAAGTAAAAGCTACCTGAAAATTTATTTTGAAGACTAGTTCCTTAAGTAACAGAATCCTACACCTTTAACAAAAGAGTTTGTTTAAGAAAATAATTTCATAAATTATACATAGTCATATTAGATTGTGAGGGAGTCATTACATTATACTCAGAAAACATAAAAATTAAGGGGAAAAGACTTATAATAAATGGAAAATGCAGTATGATATAAAATGAAAACAATGCAAAGGGAAACCAAATAAACCAAAACAAAACACCAAGGCTGGAAAGAAATAATGGTTGTGTTTTGCAAGGTGAAGCTACGGGGATTATTTTACAATTTACTGAATTTTCCAAATCATCTCTACTCAGAAGCATTATATTTTTAAAAGAAAAGAAAATGTTAACTGGATAAAACTTCTATCATGTTCTCAGTTATTTAAATTTCAGATATCTACCTGAGTCTCTCACACCATTTTTCATCTCAGTTTATACACTTAATACATTATCTCCTAACTTGGTTACAGACTGACCTCATTTCTTTTTAAAATGCAATAGGGTCATTAAGTGGAATGACTACAGGGATAAATTTGCGTGTATTTTAAAATACAATCTACTCTCCCACAGAGCAAAAGCATTTGTCAACATACAGCTTGCTTTCATCTTTTCCTTACCCCATTTTCTCTTTGTGAAATAGGCATCAGCATTGGGGTCATTAAAGTGTCTGCTCATCAGAGTTTCTCCTCCAGCATGGAAATCATATGCAAACACAAGAGCTTAAAATAAAACACAAACATTCTTTACTGCAATCTGGCTTCAAACAGTGAGGCTCACAAGCAGAAAAACAATTACAAATTACTCACAAGGCTCTGCAAATGCTTTAGTGGTAAATACCTCACGCAAGGTTACAATATTTGAGTGCTGAATTTTTTTCCACATATCAACCAACACCATGCATTTTGTGTTAACAAGACGAAAACCTAAAAAAGAAAATTTTTATTAAACTGTCAATGACATCTCCCCTTAGTCCATCAGAAATGGGGAGAAAAATAAACATGCTATACATTACTGTAAGTTACTAACTGCCAAATGAAATAATAAATTACTCATTATCTTTTAAATTAATGTATTAAATAAATAAACGTATTCAGGAATGTTTGAATAATCTTAGCCTCACTAATATGCTTCTAAGAGAGGATAATTTATCTTCCTTACCATGGATCCTCCGAAGGCAATATGGCAGATCATCTTTGCTATTCACAGCTTTATAGCAAGATGTAATGTAGCCAAAATTACTTGATTTCTGTATTCGGTTGGGTGGTGGCAGTGGTTCTAGAGGGAATAGGCTATGATAGCTGTCGACTTCTGCAGGGAATGCTAGAGTAATTCATAGGAAAACAGATGACAACTTGCAGACATTCATAAATCTCTCAGAGTGATAAAGAAGAAATCAAACCTACTTTAAATAACTACTAACAAAGTAGTATAAAAACATACTTTGAACATTTATAATTCCATAAAACTGGTTTCATTATCAATAAAAATAGTCATTATAAAACAACACAGAACTAAATTTATACACTCAAAATATTTCTTTTATAGCATAATACAACAAATATCAGAAACAACTTGTGTTATCACTTATAAATAGGTAAACATTTCTGATTCTGATGCTGAATAAAAATCAGGGAGATTTTGTTTCTTTAAAC